TGAGGCAGCAGCAGACAGGTTCTTTTTGGTAACCATGGTTACCAGGCTGCAGAAAGAGTTGATGCACCCCACCCAGGAGCAGGGCAGTGTGGCCCAGGAGTTTCACAGTGCCAGGGCCAGCTGAGGCCAGGCCCACCCACAGTGGTGGTACTATGGCTCTCAGCAGGAAGCATCTCACACCTCTCCTTGTTGGAAACCTGGAGCCTGTGACTCCCCAACCCCATGCTCTGATCCGGGGTGTCCTATCAGTTACTGCCACAGAAATGACCCCCAGCTCTGCTGGATCCCTCAGGGGTGGACCTGGACTGTGGCTCGTCAGCACCATGGCGGGGCCCTGGGCCTGTCCCTGCACCCATCCAGCTGGGGCTTGCTAGGAAACTGCTTCCAGGTCAAAGTCAGGCCAATCCACTCTCTGCTTATGACAATAGTTGCAGAGACTATTTCTGGGGTTACTCTCACCAAGAGTCCAGTCCTCACCCCCACCTAACCTCTTCCACAATTCCATTGTCAGGAAGGCAGGTGGGGGCAACCGGTGACCCATGGGTATATTAGTTGTTTATTGCTATCGTTATTTAAGTTTTACAACTTATATTGTTGTTATTTTACAACTTATTATTTATTGCTGCCTAACAAATTAACCTAAAGTTTAGCAGCTTAAAATGACAAACCATTGCTTATCTCACACAGTTTCTCAGAGATAGAAATCCAGGAGCTGCTCACGTGGGTGGTTCTGGCTCAGGATCTCTCCTGAAGTTGCTGTCAAGATGTTGACAGTGGCTGGGATCTCATCTGAAGGCTCAAGGAGTTGGAGAATCTACTTCTAAACTCACTCTCCCTCAGGTCCACACTCTGTTGGCCTCTCCATAGTAAAGACAGCTGGCCTCTCCCAGAGTGAATGATGTGAGAGACAGAGACACAGCAAGACGTACTTGCAAACCAACATTAAAGAGACATCACATCACTTCTACAGGGCCCAATCGGTCATGAGAGCCAACCTCAGCACATTTACAAAGCTGCAAACCAGAGGGGGATCACTGGTGGCCTTCTAAGAAGCTGTGGACCCCAGGGCCTGTTTCCTTGACCATGGCACATCCCAGGATGGAAATAGTCCCCAGGGCTCCAGGGAGCAGAGACAGAGCAACGAGGCACAGCTGTGGGACCCTTTAGGTTCAGCTTCCTGCTCTGGAAAGCTTGCCAGGTGATGGGAGGAGGCTGCAGAGGCCCGGAGATAATCAGGGGACCACTGGAGCTTTGGTCAGGGAGCTAAGGCCTCACCTCTCACAAACCAGGGCTCCAAACAGCCCAGCCCTCCCCCCACTCTGAATTTCCAATTGACCGCAGTTTCATGAGCCGACTTCTGTCACCATAGGGACCGATTCTTTCTCCAAATTTCTAACACCCATGATTTACTGTCATTGTTCAGTCCCTAAGCCCTGGCCCCACAAGCAGATGAGACACAGATACACAGGGATCCCACACCCACAGAGGCAGGCAGTTCTGCTGACCATGCACATGAATTTAGCAAACATTTATTGGCTCTTGGTCTTTGCCAGGAACTGGGCTGGAAGGAGACCCCAGATACTGAATGACACTCCACCTCCCGGTGGAGGGTAAATGATCAGGAGGCCTTCTAGCTTCCTCCCCAGGAGGAGGTCCTGATTCCTCCCCCACCCCTACCACAGAGCCTTGACAGGAGAAGGTGCTTCATCTATTATTCAGCAGGAAGTGTCTGCAAGACAAAAGCCAAGATAAAAATAGCTGGGTGGGTGGCTAGGAGATCAGGGACAGGGAAATAACCAGGAGCCCATCTTGGGGTAGTGAAGGAGAGGGGAAGAGCAGGAAATGGGTGGAAGAGTGGGGAGGGTAGGAAGGAGAACCCCTGGTGTGAGGGGGTTACTCCACTTTTAGGCCAGAACTCTCCCCACTGAGGTCTGTAGGAAAGCACTTGAGGGGGTCCACTGGACTGGGTGTGGGGGGAGGTGGTGTTCCTTCCACAGCTGGAGACAAAGATGCTGTTTGTTTGCTTGTTTTAAGATTTTATTTATTTGACAGAGCAAGAGAGCACAAGCAGAGGGAACAGAAGAGGGAGGGGGAGAAGCAGGTTCCTCGCTGAGCAGGGAGCGGGCTGAGGGACTCGATACCGGGACTCTGGGATCATGACCAGCGCTGAACACAAGCCTATTAGCCATCTGAGCCACCCAGACGCGGAGGATGCTGTTCTTAAGACCCAGGTGCCCTCAGCTGCTGAAAAGGGGCAGCCTGGGTAGAAGGCCAGCTTCAGCCTGAGCTGTGCTTCCTCAGACCTCCCTAATCTAAGCGAGAACGACACCCTTCTCAGCCAGGGGCGCCTGTGGTGGCTCAGTTGGTTGAGCGGTTAAGCATCTGACTTTAGCTCAGTTCATGATCTCGGGGTCCTGGGATGGAGCCCCCACCCCCACCCCGCGAGCCCTGAGTCAGGAGTCTGCTTGTCCCTCTGGCCCTCCTCTCTCTCACACTCACACTCACACACACACACACACGTGCACGCTCTCTCTCAAATAAAATAAAATCTTAAAAAAAAAATGACACCCCTCTCAGCCACAAAAAACAACGGAATCTTGCCATTTATGACAACACGGATAGACCTAGAAGGTATTATGCTAAGTGAAATAATCCAGACAGAAAAAAATAAATACCATATGTTTCACTTATACGTGGAATCTATAAAACAAGATAAGCAAGCAAACAAAAAATACTCTTGGGGTGCCTGGTTGACTTAGTTGGTGGAGCATACAACTCTTGATCTCGGGGTTGTGAGTTCGAGTCCCATCCTGGGTGTAGAGATCACTTAAAAATAAAATCTTAAAAAAAAAAAATAACTCCTAAATACAGAGAACAAACTGGTGGTTCTCAGAGGAAAGGTGGATGGGGGATGGGTGAAACAGGCAAAGGGGATTAGGAGGTACAAACTTCCACGTATATAATAAATAAGTCACAAAGATGAAAAGTACAGAGAGCAGGAGGAGCTTGCCTGTCTGAGGAACTGTGTGTGGTCCCCCACAGGGCCTGAGAGGTCCTTGATGGGTCCTCACTCCAAAGCTCCCTTTGGCAACAATGTTGAGATTACCGGAAATAAGAAGTAAATGTGGCATGGGAGTTGGGGTGGAAAGGACAGGAAGTAGGGCAGGGAGGGAATGGGAGCCCAGGGATCTGGTCTAGTTATCACTGCCCTCTCATGGGAGGAGGGAGAGCATGATGGCCCAAGTTCCAGGTGATTTCCCCAGGTGGCCCTTTCTCCTTTAGCCACACAAGTGGGAAGGTCCCTCTTTTTCCTGCAGGATGTGTGGGCCCCAGCTTTGTACAGACCCTAACCACCCCCCTACCCATCCCCCAGGCTTCACATCCCAAAGCACCACCCCTTCTCCCAGCTTCTGCACTGAAGCCCTGAGCAGCTCCCCTTTCCCAACCAAGCTGAGCTTCTAGCTTCAGCAATAGACCTTGTGCTAGTCCTCTGCCCAAGAGGGCTTCCCAGGAGTGATCAATTATTCCTCCCCCACAGTCCTGCTGATGCCACAGCTCTGAAGAAAGAAAACCTTCCTTCAGAGTTCCCCTGGGCTCCCCCAGGGCCAGGATCACAGAGTGTGTCTATGTCCAAGGATACAGTACCTGGCCCATGTGGCTGCCACCATCTAGGACCACTGACCCAGGCCCTTGAGTCTTGGGGAGATGGGCAAGGAAACCAGAGGGCAGGGGGTGACTTGCTTGGTGGGGATCTGGAGGTCCCTGCTGGGTAAGCATGGCCGAGTGCAGGGGAGCCCAGGTGAATCCTGCTTGTGACACGGCCATGGAAGCCACTGGAGGAGAAGCAGGCTAATCTCTAGCAGTGACTCACCCTCTTTCTCCTTGACGGGCCCTGGCCAGGCAGGCGGCCGACCACCATCTGATGAACTCAGCTGCAGTTGGGAAATGAGTCTTGGCTCAGCCTCAGACGGGCTCAGGATGAGACACTCCAGTCTCAGCTTGTATGACTCAGATCACCCCCTCATTGCAACTAGAGCCCAGTGCCCAGCAGCAGCTCAGGGAGACCTTGGACCGCAGGACGGTGACTCCAGGGCTGATGTCCAGTGCTGCTCAGCATTACTGCCCAGGACTGCAGGGCTGCCACACAGCAGGTGCTCAGAACAGAGGCATGGGCAGGACCACCCTCCAGTCTTTCCCCCCCAGGGGGAGACCTCCCCTCCAGGGCACACAGCAGGACTGGACTCTGGTAGGAGAGTTACCCCCCCAAACCTTGGCACTAAGTGCTCTTGGCCGGTCTTGCCCCAGTCCCCTGTCCTCAGGACTCAGTCACCCTCTCCTGCTGGCCCTCGTCTCCTGACCAGACACTGGCCTGGGGCAGGCTCAGTCCAGGCAGCTTTGTGTTGAACCATGAGAATAAAGTAGGAAGCGGACCAAGCCAGAACTGAAGCCGCAGGGCACGATCACCTCTCGCCAAGCCCAGTGGCCCAGGACAAGGGTGTGACAATGTCTTCACCTTCCAAGGTCCACAGGAGTGTGGGATAAGGTACCTTTAAATACAAACAAAAATCCTTGCCCAGTGATGCTGCCGGACTGGTTTCCAACGTCGGGATACGTTGTGGAAAATGTGATGACTGTCACTTTCCTGAGCGGCTTCTCACATCGCCCACACTTCCAGGAGGGTAGCTGGCTCCTGCACAGATGCAGGTACACCGACCAAGCCCTGGGCGAGAGGAACGGCCGGCACGGAGTACAGAGCGTGGGGAAGGGCCACCCGCAGTCCCACCCCAGAAGTCCAGCAGAAAGCAACCAGCAGACTCCCCCACCCCCCGCCCCAGAACTAAGGGCTGAAAGAAACGCCAGACTAGAGTCTTCACAAAGACAAAAAAATATCAAAACTCTCTCGACGTGGCCTCTGGAAACAAATATTCTCTGGTACACTCAGCAAAGGCCACGGCCCTAGAACGGGGTGCAGCCTCTGTTACAGTCTGAGGGTCGAGGCCTCACCGCAGCCACGGCCTCCAGGGCGCGTCCCGGTTCTGCAGCCCCGCCCTAGAGGTGTTGGGGGGCGCCCCAGTCAGGCCTGGAGGGAGCCGCAGCGCGAAGGCAGACCCAGGGCGCAGCAGGGGTAAGGGGCGGTCGAATGCCAGGAGCGGCGGGCAACCGGCGTAGACTTCGGGCCCCCGGGCCTCCGCAGCGGGGGACGATGGAGCCGGGCGGCGCGAGGGCCCCAGCTGGCCCAGGCAGGCGGCCAGGTGGCCAAGCAGGCGAGAACGGACGTCGGCCGGGACGCCCTCGCAGCCGGCCAAGAAGCGATTCACCTCCGCTAGACACTCATTGAAGCCGGCGCGGTACTTGCCCAGGACGGCGGGGTCAGCGCTGAGCGCGGCTGCGGGGCCGGCAGGGGACAGGCGGTCGGTTCCCACCGCGTTGGTCTTGTGCGCCTCCCGGTCACCCCACCCCCACCCCCACGCCGCTGCTGCCCGCGCCTCACCTGTCACCTGCACACGCCGCAGACTCTGCAGGTGCCTGACGGTCATCTCCAGGATGTCTGCTTTTTCCAGCTTCGAATGGCGGGAACTCTGGGTAGGGCGGGTGTGGGAGGCTTGCAACCCAATAGTGCGCCAACACTTCCGAGTTCCGCACCTCCACCCCTCGACCTCACCTCCCGACCCCGACTTACATCCTTCCTGAAGGCGTCCAGGATGAGGGTCTTGAGCTGCGCGAGGCTTTCGTTGATGCGCGCTCGGCGCCGCTTCTCCATGACCGGTTTGGAGGACTGTGGGTCGGGCTGTGGCTGAGTCCCGCATCCGTCCGTCCCACCCCACGCCTCCCAACCCACGCCCCTCCCGGTCCCCACCTTTCGGTGCTCCGCCGCGCTTCGGGGCTTATTCGGGGTTCTGTTGGCGCTGGCCGGCGCTCCTGCCAGCGGCGAAGCTCTCGGCTTCCCTGGGGTGTCTGCAGGCATGGTGCGCCCGCGCGCCTCCGGAGCCAGGCGGAGTGCGCCGCCGGGAGCTGGCGGGCGCGTGGCGTCCCCTGTTCTTCTCAATCGGGTCCCAGGCTGCAGGCCCGCGCGAAGAGTTGCCAGCCGCTCGGCTATTTAAGGCAGCGCGGCCGCAGGGTGTGTGAACCCCGCTCGGCATTCTTTCCCACACTCTCGCCAGCCAATGAGAGGCTGCGCTCCACCCGCCCGTCCCCCCTCCCCCGCCCCGGGCCCTGCGCTGGGCAGCCCACCCCCGGCTGCCGCCGCCGCCAAATGTCAGTCACGCCTAGGCTCCCTGCCCACCAACCCGGCCCGCGACAAAGGCAAGCAGAGGCGCCCTGCCCGCGCCCGCCTCTAGCTACGACGGGACGAAGCGGGAAAATCGCCGGGCCCCCTCCTCTGCGGCCGCGTCCCGAGCTCTGCGCCGGGACGGGGCCTCTTTGGACTGCCCGGGGCAGCGCATCTCCCGGGCTGGGAGCGAGGCTCCCATTCAGACCCAACGGGGCCCGGGGTGGAGATGGGACGCAGAGTTCGCGGCGGGCGGCGCGGGAAGTCTGAAAGGAGAAGTCGCAAGGGGGAATTGGGTCAGGCGCCCCTGAGGAGCAGGCGAGGCTTGGCCCACGTGCCTCTTCGGTTTTTCTCAGCAATCGCGGGTCCCCGCTTGGGGCCAAGGGTCTCTGCACAGCCTCATCTGACCTGCCGCGTGCTCAGCCTTCCAGGACCCCCACCACCTGCACACCTACTCAAGGCCTATTACACAGTGAACGTGGAACACCAGCCTCTGGGCAGGAGAGAGGTCAGCTGGCTGAAGTCTTGAGGCAGGCAGGGTGGCGTCACAGGACAATTAAATTATGGCATAGAACGATGAGGGTGATACTGCAGGACAGGTAGAGTGATGTCACGGATCAGGCAGAAAGATGTCACGCAACAGAATGTAAGAGTATCACTGGCCAGGCTTGCAATGCCACCAGATAATCGGAGGTGACGTCTCAGGGTGAAGGGCAGTGATGACACAAGCCAGATGAGGTGATGTCATGGGGCTGGGGATGTCACACTCTTCTAGATTACACAATAGCAGGCTAAGCACCAGCAAAGTAGGGCTCACAAAAAAAGAGCAGCCATTGTTAAAATCTGTTTATTTTGAAGTGGTACAGCGGGAGATACAGGACTATATTATTTTCCTGTTTGATAATTGTTTTCATTTTGAATTATGTCACAGGGGCATAGTCTTTTTTTTTTAATAATTTTTATTGTTATGTTAACCACCATACATTACATCATTAGTTTTTGATGGGGGACATAGTCTTTTGAGTACTCGGGGTCCCCAGTCCACTGTGGCCTGGCAGCAGTGTGGTATCCATCCCATAGACATTTCCCGAGGCCCACTGTGGGCCTGGTCAGCTGCTGGGGCTGGGGAAGCCCCTCCTGGGGCTTCTAATCAGGTGCTGGGGGAGATGGCAAGCAAAAATAATCATTCCGTTATAAGTGATAGAAATGGGTGGGCTGCTGGGGGAGAGGAAACCCTTCTTTTCACGGGGTGTCCAGAAGTCTTCTCTGCGGTGGGACCTTCTGGGGGAGAAGGCAGCTTTGCAAGGCCCCAGGGGGAGGGAATGGCATCCCCAGGGTGGCAAAGGGGCCACAGGAGCGGAGGGAGGTGGGGAAGGGGCAGGCAGAGGCACAGGGACCTGGAGGCTTCTGGCCCCAGGAGTGGTCTGGGAGAGCCTTGGGGGGCTTTTCTGAGCAATGAAGTGAGCCGAATGGCGAGCCTCGATGGGTCAGCTCAACTGCTGTGGGTCTACATAGTGGGTGTCCATGGCTGGCCCCTGTCCCAACACCCATTTCCTGGTCCCTCTCTGGCCACCATCCAGAGGACTTCTTTCCTTTCTGAGGCTGATTCTAGTCTAGTGTCAAGCGAAGTCCCCGCCTGCCCTCCACCGATGCACCGCCCCCACCCCCGTCTGCCTCGGGCGCCGGGGCGGGGCAGGGGGCAGCTCAGGTCCTCCCCACCACACAATCGCTTCTGCACAGGCACCTGGATGAGGCTACCCATTTTTCCCCTTTCCCGCCTAGAGAAGCGTGCGGGGGAGTGGAGGGGCCTTGGAAAGCAGGTGGGGTCAGGAGGGAATCTGAGGAGGGGCCACTGCTAGCACAAAGAGCCCTGGGAGCGCCGATTGGTCCAGTGCAGGGGCGGCTGGAACCAGTCCCGCTATCCAGGAGGTCGCGGAGATTGCGGAGGACAGAAGCCCGCGAGCGCCCCCAGTGGCCACTGGAGACTCTTCCTCCTCTTGGGAGTTGTCCGGTGTGGCTGGGCTCTGGGTGGCCCCCAGCCTTGCGCGGAGGTCAGACAGGCAGTTCAGACTGGAAGGAGAGGCCTGAGGAACGACGTTCTTGCTACCCTTTCCCTCACTAGTTGTTAGATGAGTTGACTTACCTTCCTGTACCTGCTTCCGCACCTGTAAAGTGGGTCATCTATTTATCGCAGGAATATTGGGAAGATAAATGAGATCTATTCTGAAGGTACCCAGCCCGTAGTGAGAACTGGGTACATGTCAGCTACCTTGTTGTTACTGCCTCAGGGAAGCGGGTGGTAGAGAACTGAACAGAGGGGAGACTGAGGCAGGGAGGAGATGCCTGTACTCAGCTTCATCATATGCTCCATAGTGCTCTCCACACTTTGAGCACCCCCTAGGCTCATCCTCAGAGGCCTGTCAGAAAGGAAAGGATGCTCCCCATCCAGGGTCTCCAGCGGCCCGTGTCTTGGCCTTCCCAGCCTCAGTCCCAGCAAGGAGCCCTCCAGAGGCCGGAGCAAGGTGTGCTTTCCCAATATTGTAATCACCTACACCCCCACTGTGTCTTTCCCACAGGGCTACACCCCCACAGTCTGTATGGTCATGTCCCTCTGGGCCCTTGTCCCTCAAACTGTCTCTGTAAGGAAGCACAAACTGGCCCCATGGACAGGCCACAAGGAGAGGCCCCGTGGAAAGGCCTTGTGTGGGCGTGGAAGCCAGCGGCCCAGTAGTCTCAGCTGCTAAGCACGTTAGTGAAACACCTCCAAATGACCCTAACCTGAAGTTGCTGTCGCCACTCATTTCACATCTTCCCAGCTGCCCCTGCATGCTCTGTTCCAGTTCTGGGTTCACAGAGTAGGACGGTTGTTTACTATGACATTGGTTACATAGCAGTAGTAACTGCAATAGCTGGGACGGACCAAGCCCTGGACCCAGGGACAGTGGCCTTTTCCTCCCACCCACCCCTTCTTCCCTGTCCTTTTTCCTTATTCTCTTTTTTTTTCCCCAAAGATTTTATTTATTTATTTGACAGAGAGAGACACAGAGAGAGAGGGAACACAAGCAGGGGGAGTGGGAGAGGGAGAAGCAGGCCCCCTGCCGAGCAGGGAGCCCGATGCGGGGCTCGATCCCAGGACCCCGGGATCATGACCTGAGCCGAAGGCAGACGCTTAATGATGGAGCCACCCAGGCGCCCCTTTCCTTATTTTCTTTAGCATTTACAAATGCTCAGTGGCTTTGAACCATGGCTTTCCATCTGATAAGATGCTTCTTGGGAGCTATCAAAGGCCTGTCTGTCTTCCTGGACCCAGGCCCGAGTGGGCCAAGCCCCAGAAGGCTGATGGTCCAGGGGGCATCAGCAGGGTCCACTGATGGCCATGGCGGGGGCCGGGGGGGCAAAGCAGGAAAGTCATTGGGGAATTTGTGAGGAAAGACAGAGGTATCTTCTAGGCCAGACATGGGGCTCTAGCCTTGTGGGGGTGGAGGTCTCACATCTGGCCGATGAAACAGCATTCCACATGACAACATGCAACCCATGTCCTTGAGGGCTTGTGAAGTGCTGTTTGTGCACACCCCACCCCCAACCTCTGACATGGGGATGCCAACTGCGTTTACACCCTGGCCCTCACATTCCTCTGGCACATGGATTCCAGTACATCAGAGACACCATAGACCACCACCCGCCCCATCCCCCCATGCACCCTTCTTAGAGTCTGCTCCCACCTCTCCTGCCAAGAGGCATCAGCCCATCCACTCAGGCAGCTGGGACCAGAGCTGTCAAAAGACCAGGCTAGAACCGTTGTAGGTTCTCTCCTGCAAAGTGGCAGCTGGGGGCTGAGCCTTTCATCAGTGTTTGCTGGAATCCAGCAAATGACAAAGGCCAGGGCTGATGGAAACCAGGATGCAAGATAGCGACGAGGTAATCAAATGCCCAGGACCCAGGTAGAGGCCAGGAGCACAGCTTGCTGATGCTGAGGTTTTAGGTTCCAGGACAGTCCTCATCCTCCATGGCCAAGAGGGTGTCTTCCACCCTTACAGGCCATGGACCTGACACAACTTCCCTCAGCTACCTGAATAGTGGGTGGGGAGAGCATTCCCTCCCCACCCAGCACATGCTGAGTGACAGCATCTTCCCCATGGTCTGGGCGTTGTTAATATCTTTCTCCAAAATCTGAGTGGTGACACCTCTCCATATTTGGGAAGTCATATCTCTCCAACTTGGGAAATGACAGAATCTCCTCCCAATACCTGTCTGCATAGGATGGCTCCTGTGGGTACTGCTGTTCACTGTTCTTGGACCACTGCACCTGGGGAAAGGTGAGCTTCCTTGTCCTTCCCCTTTGGAGCTTCCAGACCAGTCTCTTCTCTACCACAAAAGCCCCAGCTTTCAACCTTGTATTATCACACCTTACCTTGTTGAAGTTGTCTCGGCGCCAGGGGGCCTTGTCTCATTCCCCATGTGTTTTACTCCTGATTCCGTCACTTTCCCCAACCACTCCTGCCATAGTTCCTGGTGATGTCAAAATCCACAAAGATGATCTCCAACCTTCTGGACCCCTCCCCTTCAGCAGTTCTTCCACCTCTCCGCTTGGCCACTCACTCCCCTGGCCAAGGTCCTTCTCACAACTGCAACCCCTCCATGGCCTAACCTCAAGGCTCACATTCCCTGACAACTTCCCAGCCCCGAAGCTCGAGTCC